CGAGACGTGCGACCTTTCGGCAAGTCTGGGATGCCCCGGGGTCTGATGCTGTACTCGGTCAGTCTAGATGGGCGTCATGTTCCACTCTCCGCGCGCGCACCCTGACCATGTCGAACTTTTTCCACCCCACTCTTCTCGCCTTTAGCCTTGGGTCGACGCCTCGCTGTCGTACGGCACCAAGCCCAACGCCTCGCATCACCTCAACGCGCCGTACGACATTTTGAGCCTCAGGGGCCTGGCGACCGCATCCTCGGAGCTTCTGCGCGGCGTGGCAGCAGGCGACGAGAAAAGCCTATACATTTCCAGCCTTCACCTGGGTCGCGAGTCGCCCGTGCACGACTACAAGGGCTTCCCTCCCCTCATCGTCATGGGTGGAAGTCTGGAAAAGTTCATCGACGAGATCAGGGATCTGGTAAAGGCGTACAAGAAAGATGTGCAGGCTGACGAAACGCTCGTGCACAGCTTTGAGGACAAGAAAGCATCGCACGACCCGTACAACATTCCCATCTGCTATGCAGAGGTGCAAAAAGTCGGCATGGATCGCAACTTGAAGTGGCTACTCAAGCTGAACACTTGAAGACAAGTCCAAAAACCAACAGAGAACCAAATGGAAGACGGCAAGCAGCGCTTCAACGACAACGCTCCCATTCCGCAGATCAGCATGTCTCAGCCGTCCGTACTTCGGCTCACCCCGCTGTGCTCGCGTCGAGAAGTTTGGGTTGGATGATGTCTATTTGGGTAGGGGTACGAATTACAACATGTAGGACGTAAGTGTCGTGTGCAGTCAGCTATCATGTACAGTGACGCTCTGGCAAAGATCATGCCTTATGCTGCTGTGCCAGCTCGTTTGGTTCGGCAGTCGAGCTTTGATGTGCCTCGCCCGCCTGACTCTCCTCGCTCGCATTGAGCACGTCCTTTCCTCTCGTAGCGATCTCATCCGCATCCCTAGCAAATGCAGCCTTCAAACGCTCTTCCACTTCTTTCGTCTTCTTTGTTTGCTTGCCTCCCACAGCGATGAGAACCGCAGCGGCGATACCGCAGCTAAAAGACAGGACGATACCAAGCGCCGTCATCCAAGCTGGGCGATCGTGGTACTTTTCAGGACCAGCATAACCCCACATGGCCGCGCACAGACAGCATTGAAAGATGCTGTTGCCGACGTTGAGGGCTGTGATGGCCACAGCCATGCTGATTGGAAACGCGGTATGGGTACTGGTCTCGGTGTACCGGTACCAAGTCGCCGATGCTGCAAATTTGCTCTGCAGCTCCATCATTCTCTCTGCTTGTCGCGGCTTGAGCACATGCTCAGCATCGTGCTCGATGGACGGGAGCGTGGACAGCCGATCTTGCGCATCTCCAGCTTGTCCCTTTCCCGCAGCAGTAGATGAGCTTGGCTCCTTTTCATACTTCTGTTCCAGCCTTTCCTCTGCCAGATCTTCACGGTTCTTAAGGGGAGGAAGACCTCGCTCTCGCCTTAAGCGCCAGGTGAGGTTGCGATAGTGGCAGATTCGCGACATCCGACTGCATTATCAACGCGCGCACTCGTTGTGAGCAGCGCTGACACAGGAATGGCGAGACTTCAGAATCTGTTACTCACTATGTATCGCGTATGCGCCAAGGGATGAGGCCGACACCGGTGATGGTGAACAACCCGTTGATCGCTTGACTGAAAGCCTCAACCTGACTGTCGAAGAGTGTGG